GCCTTACTCTAAAAAATGGCATGTTGTAGGCCTGTGTGACAGGTTGTCCAGGCATATGGGGGTGATCCAGTCTAGAACTAGCATCTGCACATGTTGGTAGACAAGCAGGTCTGAGTGAGCTTGGGCAGTTACAATGTATAGATTATGCCCCGCATAGTAGACATGTGCATGCCAGAAAATTTTTGCTTCTTTTCATTTCAGATACATTCATTCATTGAAGAATTTTTGTCATATTTGTCATAATTGTCAGAATTTTGTATCCTCGGCATTCGTTTACTGGTCTGGGTGGATTCGAAACATTTTGCAGTATTTCCAGAAGAATGCTATATATTTGCTATATTATCAAATTGGACGGATTTGGATTAGACAGATTCAGTATTTTCGGACTCTAGTCGAACTCACCAAGAGAAATGGCATGGGCTGATTGGACAATATCCACTAACATTATGTGCATCCGAATTAACAATTGGAATGAAATTTTTTTCGTTATCTGAATCCGAATTATAAAACGAACTTGAAAATTGAGTTAATTTCCCCATGGGCTTGAACTATGATCGCATCATGTGACATCATCCGAATTAACAATTGGAATGAAATGTTGATACATTCGTTATCCGAATCCAAATTATAAAACGAACTTGAAAATTTAGTTAATTTTCCCACGGGCTTGAACTATTATCACATCATGTGACATCATCCGAATGAAACAAATTTAAAAAATGCATTCATTAACTTTGTTATAACTTTTTTCGGATCTGTTGCCATTCATTTCTCTGAAAATTACATTTTCATCTGAAAAACTAAGCAAAACAAAACAAATTGCACATCTACCAGAAAGCTTACCTATTGGTAAGACTGCAGCTGCAGGGTAGGCCATGTAAAAACAGTATCTGGGACCTGCCTACATACTGACAGTTCTACCAACCAATGACAACAGGGGAGCTAATTTGTTACATTTGTTGTCTTTTGGGTAGATTGGGAATGGTAAAAACATGTATCAGAATTTTTTATATTTTCAGCAACACAGTAATAATAAGCAGTGGGTTGGCCTGCTGCATTAAAGCTCTTGAAGTATAGGCTATGCACTTTATAAGTATTTTTGACCAGAGTTTATGTACCTTTAATGCCTTCTGAATTCATAAATCATTAAACTGAATTGCATTTTCTATTTAGTCATATACATAATTGTATTATACTTTTAAATTAAATCAAACAGGCAGTGTTTTTGCAGCCAAGCTTGTTGTGATTAATTAATTTTGTTTAAAAAAAAAAAAATTTCCTATGCATTTCTTCTTGTAGAACTCTTCCGACCCCTAGGTATATGATATATATCTATGTGTTTCCATTAAATAACATGTCTCCAGGGCATCCTCTGCCCATTGCACTGTACCAAATAAGCCTATATTAAGAAGCAAGACCCAGGGTCACCGTATGAAAATGTCCATAAATCAGAGGGAAATTATACCGCCGGCTAAAGTTTTGCATGTTTTTCATCATAATCAATTTGTTCAGCTTAAATCCTTACTATACTCCACCTGCAGCTTTTTCTGAAACTCCGTATTTCTCAACTACAATACACCACATACGTGCACAAATTTACAAATGAATGTTGCTTATAGAAACACTGACATATTTTCTTTATTTCACTTTAAAATGTATATTTTATAATCCCTGGCCAAAAGTTTTGAGAGCTCCCCCTGCCCCAAATCACCCCCCCAGTTGAGGGCATGTGGCCTGGTATGGTTTGGGAGGGAGGGGCGCTCACTTGTCCCCCGCTTTTCCTGACCTGCCGGGCCGCATGCTCGGATAAAGGTCTGGTATGGATTTTGGGGGCACCCCCACGCCAATTTTTTTTTAATTTTGGTATGGGGGTTCTCCTAAAAATCCATACCAGACCCAAGGGGCTTGGTATGGATGGGGGGGGGACCGTACGCTTTTTTTTTTTTTTTTAATTCAATTGGTGGAAATTTTTTTTACATTCAAGGGTCAGGGGGAACCCCGCTGCCAGCTGAAACATTAAAGAATGTTTTCACTACTGAAATACCACATGACATATAACTCGTGGTATTTTAGTAGAGGTGCGGTATCTTGCCGCATACTCAGATGCACTAAGATACCACTTAGTGAACTGTCCCTGTTCGAAGTTTGCGGTCGAACTTTTGTTAGGCTTGAATGTGTGGCCACAAACTAAACAGGGGGGTGTTTGGCTCATCGCTAGCAACTACAGAGGTCAGCGAAGACTTGTTTTAAAGCTCATTTACTCCTTGTAAAGAACATGAAAACACTTCAATGCATTTTACCCTGGTCACAGATTTACTTTAAAGATGCCCCACAAGAGAAGATTACATTTGCTAGATCGAACCACCCCCTGGGGAAATAGTCAAACAAGTTAGAGTAGAGCCTCTATATAAGCAGCACTGTCCTTGTCTAATTGCTTCCACCAACACTAAGGATCCTTTTAAAAACCTGTAAGAGGGTCATTATTTTCATTGATCATCAATGTAAGAGTTTTTCTTCCCAATTTTTCTTTATTAAGAGTCTTGCAATCAATAAACATAAAATCCATATACAGAATATACAAAAATAAATAATTATATACATATTTCCCCCCCCCCCAAAAAAAATATAGCAAAATCTGCTGTCAGATAAAAGAAAAAAACTCTCATGAACACAACTTTACTGGGGGAAAACAAATCTTACTAAGACTCACATCACTACACCAGACATCAAACCTTCGAGGTCAGGAAACAAACCCGCACCCAATTATGTATGCAGCCCTTCTTTAAAAATAACATTATAACCAACAAAAACTGAGGCCGTGAAAGAACAGCATAAGACAAGAGCCCCTCACCCAGAGATTGACAGTTCACCAAATGAAGGTCTGATATTCCTGCACGCCCTTATCCAGACCACCCGAGGCTCCCTGCCCTTCTCAAGACCCCGAATCTTCCCAGCTTCATCCAGAATATCGTTCACCACCACCTCAACAGAGAGGCTTTCTTCCACAGGGTAATCTGACACTGTGCATTCCATGGGAAGTAACAAACAACTATACTAACTAGAAAAAGTGTGTTCAAATCAAAGTCCCAGTGAGCAGGGAATGCCCCGTACACCCCACTCTGCATAACTCATGCGATAATGTTGATGCCCAGAACCCTCCCCACCCTTTTATACACCTCTATGTTAAAGGGATACTGGAGCAGAAAGTGGTCCATAGACTCAACTTTACCAACACACTCTTCTCTACGACAATCCCGATCATCCACAGGGCGATGCTTCAGGTTCCCTCTCACATAGAGCCTTCCACGGAAAGAGAGCCAGGCTTGATTCCTAAACTTTAAAGGGATTATCTCCAAAATAATTAAACACAACCCCTTCCTCATTATGGAGCCTGAACAATCCTTTAAGGCCAGTGAACACACTGAAAGCAGAAACCAGAATCTTCTCCTTCAAATGTTTCCTGGGAAGGGACCTGATATCCTCCACTGTCACCTGCCACTGCCAAAGTGTTTTTCAGACACGGGGCAACATAAGCCATGTCGGACTCTCAGACTTTTCACTGGGCCGCCAGCTTGCCAGCAATGCAGAAAAGGCTTAAATCAAGATTGAAAAATACTCACCCATTCTGGTGGGGTCTCTTGGTAACATATTACCAAGATTGTACTTTAATAAGAGCAAAGAAAATAAAACTATCAGGTTGCCCATGCAATCACTCAGAACAATGATGCATCCTGTAGCATTCTTACAAAGGGATCGATTGTGAAAGCATGTAGCAGGGGTCTCAAAGGACCTCTCTAACGCACACCAGAGCCAACCTCAAAAGGCCGTCCAACCCAACCCACATTAACAAATAGGAAGCTCTCAGCCCCTCTATATAGCCAATCTATAAACCTTTCCTGCAGGCCGTATCTACCAAGTAGCAACCACAGATATTCATGATTCACTCAATCAGAAGCTTTTGCCTGATCCAATGCCAGCAAGTACTTTCTCCATCCAGCAGCCCTGCATCGCTCCAAAGCCTCCCAGACAGAAAAAACTGATGAAAAGGTACTTCTACCTTGGACCAAACAGTGCTGATGGCTGGACAACAAATCTCCTGCTACTGACGACAAGTGCCAAAAAAGAATATTTGCCAAGATCTTTCTACCAACATTGAGAAGACTGATGGGGCACCAGTTCTCAATTGTTGAGGAATCTTTTCCTTTTGACAGAAGATTCCCAGTGAATTGCCTCACGGAGGGAGGGAGCAAACCTTCTAGACAGCTGTTAAAAACATTTGTAAAATTCAGCTGTCAATCCATCCAGTCCGTTTTTTGGTAGCCAGTTTGCCGCTGAAATTGGTTTTGTCAAATCCATCAAAAGCAATGCACCATTTCCCAATCCTGGAGTAGAATCCAGAATGCTTTCCATCTTGTCTCGGCTAAGGTCCTTTCTTTCTAGAAGGTCTGCATAATATGACCTGAAGATCTCCAAGATCCCTGATCTGGACTTCACCAGGGAACCTGTACTGTCTTTCAGACCAGTGACCATCTTAACTGTTTGCCTTATTTACAGTTCTGGTAAGGATCAGGCGAGTAATATTTCCCATAATCCCTCTCCAGAACCACAGAGGTATTCTGGTCGTATTGACACTTCCTAAGAATTAGCTTCACCTCAGAGATCTCCCCTGGATCTCCTCCATACGAGACAAGACGATAAAGCTTCCTCTGCAAATACTGGTAGGCTATATACATACCAAGCTGATTGTTCTTATTTTTGGCCTTAAAAAGTCCAATTGCCCTTTCTTTCACAAGCTCCCACCACTCTGACTTACTGCTGCAAAAGTCCAGAATAGATACCTGTGCCCTGAAAAAAATCCTCAAAGGATTGTCTTACATCTTCCAGGAGAACGGAAATCAGTTTCCAGACACCCCTTCCCATGGGTGGAGTGTGTGAGGCATTCAGAGTCACAGACAGCATACAGCGGTCCCTCAACTCAGGAGCCAAGAAAGCAGAGTTCTCCTTTAAAAAAACCTGTCTATCCTGCTCTGACTATTCCCTCTCTAAAATGTGAAACCCATGCTGCCAGGGCAGTGATTAATGTGCACATCTACCAGGCCTGCCTGTCTAACCATATCTCTAAGAAAAATGGTATCATAACCCAGCCTGCCTATGGAGCCTCTCCTGTCTTCAGGCCTAATTATGGTGTTAAAGTCACCTCCAAAGACAACCTGCTGGGACATAAAAGGATGGGCTTGATCCTTGTAAGGAGGTTTTCCTTTCCCATTTTGACTATGGTCCATAGATATTGATCAGGCACAGGTCCTGCCCCCTAACAAGGACATCTAAGACCATGCAACTCCCCATTTCTACCTAAATTACCTGCCGGCTTGTTACCACATCGGTTTTAAAAAGAACCACAACTCAGCTGCAAGGCTTAGCTGCAAGAAGCCAAAAGGAGCGACCACATCTCCACTCCCTTTTTGCTAGATGGACATCGGCCAATGTATTGAGCCAAGTCTCTTACAAAAATAAAATCTCAGCCTCAAACTTCCTGAGCAAAAATAAGGCCATATCACAAGCTCTTGCACATTTAATGCTGGCGACATTAATGGTCGCCACCTCTAACAGAGCGGGAACTGCCATCAGGATGATTGAGGTAGTTGTTTCTTAAACTCTACCACACTCTCATCACCCGAAACGTTCTCTTCAGACTATGTGACTATGTTAGGATTTCCAACATTCGCTCAACCCCCCTTGCTGCGACTCCCCAAAACAGAAGCATAGCTCCCCACATTCCTCCCAGCAGAAGAAACATTTGTGCCTTTGGATGCATCTATTCGAAATTGGATGGTGAACAGGGGTAGAAATGTCATTTTTACTCTTGTCAGCAACATTAACCCCACCACCACCACATCTATTGCTTTACCAGTCTCACCAGTCATATTATTTGCTGACACATTCATAGTCATCACAGCAATGTCCGTACTCACTACTGCACTGATAGAAACTTCAGCTCCAGCTGTCATCCTTTCCTCCAGGATAAGGCTTTCAGCCCATTAATGTTAGGCTGTTCAGACACAGGAACTGGTGAAACATCACTGACACAGGAGAAATCCATGGCTGTTTGCTCTCCACATACTCCACATGGTGCACTATGCTGCTCCCCTCCCCCGCCAGCATCAATCAGCTGTGCAACACAAGGAAGTTCAGGTGAAGCAGACTCTTTGCAGGTGGCAGCCATCTTACCTGTAGAGGGACTACTGGTCTCAGAAGAAGCAGGAGCAGCAAAAATCCATGTATAGGTTGTTTGGTGCAGATCCATCCACATTCCTCTGATGGTGTGGAGACATCTCCATCAGGGGTTTTCTCTTCATGTCTGCAGAGGATTCATCCACAGCAGAAACTTCCACAGTATGTTGTTTGCAGATCTCCTTCTCTTTCTGCTTCTTGGCCATCCACCACAGCCGGTGGGGCAGACATGTTGGAAGGATGATTTGTATAATAGGATTTCTCCCCATTACAGGCTTTGCTGGTCTATATCTGCTCTGTCCATCCTCAGGGACATCTGACAGATCATCAGAAAAGGAAAACCTGTCTGCCTTCCAGGGTGACTCCATCTGCTGGATGAACTTCAGGGTTCCATGCTCATTCTCAACCCCCTGGCTGGTTGGTGCTGGCGATTCCACAGCCTGACATGTGTGGAGACGCTGAGGTAGATGGAGCTGGGTCATCCATTACCTGAGGCTGCTGATCCACAGAACTCGCTGATGTCTGGCTGGCAAATCTCTTTTCAATATAAAATTTCTCTGCAAAGGCTCCACTCCTTGCTTTCAACTTTTCCAACAATAAAGATTGCTTCTTTACCTTTTCCTCCGTCTGCTGTAGCTCGGACTTCATGGCCAATCGATTCTTACTCCAGGCCTGGCTGTATTTGGCTCTGAAGGATTTATGCTCAGCTTTCAAAACTTTAAGTTTTTCCTCAGCTCTTCCAATTGCCAAGAATCAATCCTCTGTCTGTACACAACCACATCCTCACCAGGGCCTGGACCCATAGTCAGGTCTTCCACCTCCTCCTCACTAGGCCCTGTGTCATCAGGGGGATCCCTCCCAGGGTCTCCCGCTGGATTAGGCATGGTTCCTGGGCCAAGCTAGCAGATAAGGCCCAGGCTTGAAAAACTCTGTTTCTCAGGGAGAGCTCCTTCAGTGTGTCCTCCTCCTTCTCCCACTGACCCTCAATGTAAAGAGGTGATCTTCCCTATAACCACCAATATAAGAGGTCCCTTATGCTACTGATTGTAAAATGTTTACCCTTAAGTCCAATATAAGGGGACACTTCACTGACCTTCTTTGTAAGGTAGCACTTCTACAATTACCCCCCCATTAAAAGGGGTATTGACAACCAATGAAAGGAAGCATTTGTCCACTGACCACCAAGGTAATGGAGCATCTCTCCACTGACCACCAAGGTAAGGGAGCATCTCTCCACTGACCACCAAGGTAAGGGAGCATCTCTCCACTGATCACCAATGTAAGAGAGCATTTCTCCACTGATATCCAATGAAAGGGAGCACGTCTTCAATGACCATCAATATTAGATGGCATTTTCCACTGACCAACAATGTATGAGAGCATTTCTCCACTGATCTCCAACGAAAGGGAGCACTTCTCCAATGACTACCAATATTAGATGACAATTTCCACTGACCACTGATGTAAGGGACCATTTCTCCACTAACCACAAATTAAAGAGGGCATATATTCATTGACAACCAATGTAAGAGTGGGTACTACTCTAATGACCACCAATGTAAGGGAACACATCTCCACCAACCATTAATGTAAGGAAGCATTCAAAGTTTCTTTCAGGCAGGCAGCAGTGTGTACTGCCCTGGGAAAAGAAATCCATGGTGGATTGCTTTTCAAGGGGGGATAGAGCAGTGGCTCACAGGTGTTCAGGAGGCAATTCAGCCATCTTGTGATGCCCACTTTTGTTTTTTTACATTTTTTTTAAAAAAGCCAAATGGCTAATTTACAATGTGAGACAACCCCATAACTGCCAGTAAAGGATTTGGCTCATGGCTGTGGTGCAGCCTCATTGATCTCAATGATGAGTTTGCTAGGAAGTGATGTCTTTCAAACCCTGGAGCCCGAGTTAACCACTTGCCCTCCAAAGGATTTACCCCCCTTCCTGACCAGGCTATTTTTTGCTATACGGTGCTGTGTTATTTTAACTGAAAATTGCGCAGTCATGTAATGCTGCACCCAAATAAAATTTAGGTCCTTTTTCCCGCAAATAGAGCTTTGTTTCTGTGTTACTTGATCGCCTGTGCATTTTTTATCTTTTGTGCTATAAACAAAAAAAGAAAGACAATTTTAAGAAAAAAACAATATTTTTGACTTTTTGCTATTAAACATGTCCAATAAAAAAATTTGAAAAATAACATTTCGGCATACATTTAGGCAAAACTGTACAGGCTACATGTCTTTGCTTAAAAAAAATCCCAATACGTGTAAATTAATTGGTTTACGTGAAAGTCATAGTGTTTACAAAAGGGTGGTATATTTACTGGAATTTGTTTTTTTTTTACTAGTAATGTCGGCGACCAGTGACTTATAGGGGGACTGCGGGGCTGTGGCAGGCATTCTGACACTGGGAGAACTGACTTGGTGCCTCTGACATCCCCAGTGACACCAATACAGTGATCAGTGCTAAAAAAAGCACTGACACTGTACTAATGGCACTGGGCAGGAAGGGGTTAACATGTAGTGCGATCAAAGGGATAACTGTGTGCTGTTTCACAGTATGCTGTGTGTGTGCTTCACTGTACGCACACTGCTTTGTATGTCTCTGCTATGCAGAGCCATACAAAGCAGTGTGCAGGAGCTGACAGGGGAGAGATCTGTGTTTATACACAGGTCTCTTCCCCATCAAAATACTCGGCGATCACCGTGTGCCGCCAAGCAATCGCCGTCCGGGACCTGGTGATTGACAGTAGAGGCCACAAATGGCAGCGCAGGTAGGGCGCATGCGTGGTGCGCTCCCCCTACCCAGAACTGCAAAAAGCCGCGGAGAGGTCGAGGAGAAGGAGCACTGAATAGTGGCCGGTAGCTTTGGCGGTTAGCAGGTCGTTGGAGAGTTTGAGTAAGGCGGTTTCGGTGGAGTGAAGGGGACGGAAGCCAGACTGTATGGGATCGAGGAGGTTGTTGTCATTGAGGTGGGAGCTTAGGCAATTGTAGACTAAGCGCTCGAGGAGTTTGGATGTGAATGGCAGCAGGGAGATGGGTCTAAGGTTGTTCGGGTCAGAGGGGTCCAGGGAGGATTTTTTAAGTATGGGAGTGATGTGCGCTTGTTTCAGAGGGGAGGGGAGTGCGCTGGAAGAAAGGGAGAGATTAAAGATGTGGGTGAGGGAGCATAGGATGGAGGAGGAGGGAGGTCGTAGGAGTTGTGAGGGGACAGGGTCGAGGGAGCAGGTGGTGAGGCGGGCTTCAGAGAAGACCTTGGTGACCTCCTCAATGGTAGTAGGGTCGAAGGAGTGGAGTGTTGAGGGGGTTTCAGTGTGAGGGATGTTAGGTGGGTTGGAGGTCTGAACAGTGGTGAGGCCAAGGGAGAGGGGTGATGAGGGGGTTGCTGTGTGAGAGGAGATGGGTGTGGAGGAAGTTTGAGCAGCGGCGATGTCCCTGCGAATTGTGTCAATCTTGTTTTTGAAGTGATTGGCGATCTCGAGGGTGGTGAGTGAGGTGCTGGGTGGAGGTGGGGGCGGAGAGAGTAGAGAGTTGAAGGTGGAGAAGAGCCGGCGAGGATTGGAGGAGAGGGTCTTGATGAGGGTCAGGAAGTAGGCTTGTTTTGCAGCGTGGAGGGAGGAGGTGTAGGTGTGGAAGGCAGATTTATAGCAGGTGAACGCTAGTTGGTATCTGGTTTTGCGCCATAGTCGCTCCAGCACACAACTGCGTCGTTTGACAGTTTTGGTGTGATCAGTCTGCCAGGGCTGGAGTGGTCGGGGTCTGATGTTTGGTGTGGTTAAAGGCGCTAGCGAGTCAAGAGCGGCTGACAGCAAGTTGTTATAGGCAGTCGTGGCCAGGTCGGGGCAGGACAGGGAAGGATGCTGTCATAAAGTTGATCAGCTGCAGAGTGGAGGGGGACAGGGTTAAGGTTGCGAGGTTTCGGCTGGTAGTAGTATGACATTTGGAGGGGTAGGCGTTTGAGGACGAGGAGACAGAGAAGGTAATAAGGTTGTGGTCAGAGAGAAGGAAGGGGGTGTTTGTGAGGTTGTGGGGAGCGCAGAGATGGGAGAAGACAAGGTCCAGGATGTTCCCGTCGGAGTGGGTGGTGGACTGTATACACTG